ACAAACTGAACAGATCAATCGTGCAGAGATCAGGACAGCCCAGACACGATCAACAGTTTCTATTGTGTCACAGGAATAGGAATCCTTTAGAATCGCCTGCTCTCTCTGAAAGAGGTCCAGAGGTGCAGAGATGCCCAGCCTGAATCCTGTGTGTGTGTGTGAGAGAGAGAGAAAGAGGTAAACTGGGAGCTGTTCAGATAAGAGTGGTGAAGCGAACTCACATTTACACACAGAGAACAGAAGAAAAGTGCTGAATTAGCAGCAGCACTGCAGAGACGCACAAACTAACTAGTCTTTCTCCACGTTCTCCTGCCTGCCGCTGTACTGGTGCTGCGGGTCACTCCTCTGGTTTACTGCTTCTTTTATTATTGTAGATCACATTCATAAACTTCTTTGGATGAACACAGCTCTAAATGAATACATGTACTTAAACTAGGGCTGCATAATTCGTAGAAAAACATTATGCTTATGATTGGCATAATTTATTGTGAAAAGCATTGACTGCAGCGTTCCATTTAGATCTGCTCGTCTGGTGTCAAAGGCTTTTACTCACAAGTGATTTTTCTCTAGATGCCCCCTTTACATGTGTATGTAACTCAAGGAGATGTGCGCATGACAAGAGCGATACTGTTGTCGAGTAAAACAGTCCAATGTTGTTCTGTCCCTATATACAGACAAACTACCAAAAGGCAAACCTACAAAAACTCCATAACCAATTAGAAATTCATGGCTGCAGTTTATTTTAATGATGTGCCTGCGCAAATGAACAAGAATGTTATCAGACTCTTTTCTTAATCTCAACATGATGCCATTTTTTCCCAAATAGCAATTCATTATAGCATGCCTACAGATAAAATAATAGTTTTAGAACTAAATAAAGATAACATTTTCAGATCTCAGATTCTCTCCTGCCTCAGGCTTAAATGCATATGGCTCTACGTCACCTGAAATGAAGTGTTTGTAGCAAAGGATGCAAAATGATCTTAAAATGCATTTTATGACCCCTTCAGAGAGAGTTTTGCTCAACATGAGCCCAGTAACCGCTTGCAAAACGAGGTTCAGCTTTACACAAATCGCAGCAACCTTCAACATCATCCCACTGTAAACGCAGAGGAACCATCTGCCAACAGAATAAAGAACACAAAGACAAATATCATCCAACTCTTCAGGGCTAATGCTGATGTAACACTTTAACCTTACGTGTTCAGTTCAGAATAAATCATTCAGTAACGCACTGATGTCTATGAGATCTTAATCACTTCACTGTCTGTACTCCTGTGAACATGGAGAAATTTCCACATCATTTCATTCAGTCACCCTGGATTGATTTTTAAGATTCTCCTTAAATGAAATGGAAGGAATTCACTTTCAACTCTAGGAGCAGTCGGCACGTGAAATTCCTCTTAAGTGAAAGAAACTCTCAGGAAACGAGATCAGAGCAGTTCAGAGCGATCCAGCTGCTGTTATTTCAGCCCAATCTTCCTGAGCTTCCATGGCACGATTACTTAAATTAAACCGTTTTGAGTTCTCTGGCTACCATTATTAAAGACACCGTCCTTCACTATTTCATTCAAAGGTTCTGTTTCTCTCAAATCTTAAGCAGTAATTGCTCAACCATGACCATAAAAACAAAGAAGAACTAAAATATACATTTGTCTTAGTTATTCTCTTGTGGATTCTGTCATCATTTACTCAGCCTCACTTCATTCCAAACCTCTATGATTTTCTTTCATCTTCTTCTATGACAGACTGATAGTACTGCTCGCTCTTCAAAACAATCACAGTGAAAAAATGCACACTGAAGCATTCATGCAAAAGCAACATAAAAGTACCATAACATATGACTCTGTAGTCAGTCACACAAACTGATAATCTCAACGTTGGCCAAAACTCCCAGTGTGCTCATTAGATTTCACATGGGAAGAAGACTCTAGAGCTCTAGGCTTCAGTTGACCCTGCAGGGAAAAGAGTGACATTTTCTTCTTTCAATTTTGATGGCAAGGAAAGTCAAATCAGTGTAAAACAGCATGCGGGTGAGTAAACGATGACAGAATATTCCTTTCTGGGTGAACCGATTCTTTAACATTTCCCTTTCATGTTTGTAGGCCCGTGTAAATCTTCTCTAAGCACATTAGGCCTCTTAAGAAGAAAACAGCCTCAGTTTTTACCAAAATGCAAAACACACACCTCCGTCACTAGACCGTCTCATCAGATGTGTCTGAAGTCTCGTCACGTACCGCTAATCAGCGTCAGTGATGATCTGGATGATGTGAACGAAGGAGGATCTGCTCACTTTATCGTTCAGCTCATTTTAGAGACACTTCTGATCGCTACGCTCTCGTTACCTCGTTTTAAGATCTCTTTACCCGGGGTGGCGAGAGGGAGAAATGCCGGTTAGGGTGGTTAGAGGAGAGGGATTATAGTCAGATCAGCGGCGCTGCTAACAGGCGGCAGCGATCTCTGGGTGTCGGGGTCGAGCCGCTGTCACGGCAGGTGAGGAGGTCACGTCTGGAGCATCACGGCTCCTTCAACTGAGCTCTGGATCAGTGTTCAAAGACAAAAAGAGCTTTTTACGCTGATCTCCCACTTTAAAGAGCTGACAGGAACTAAACTAACAGTTAAAGGTTCTGAGAAACATTAAAACACAGCCGTGCCGAATACAGCACACTCACATTAAGCAATATATAACATGCAGCAAATCTCAACTGCTTGCTTGTTTATACCGTAGCATAATGTCAACCATCTCTAATCTGATAAATACTACTCTAAGGAATGAAGAAATTATAATAATTAAAATCTGATTTTCTGGAAAACTGCTTTCAGACAATGTGTGAAAAATGCTTCACCAGTAAATTTGACTTGACAAACACATAAAGGTCCTGCAGAGATCAGGCCAGTGACAAACAGGATCTTAATTTGGCCAGAAGCATTTGATCCCAACATGAATGCATTCAGACTCCTGACAGACATCTGCCAGATGAAGCTTCAGCACATCTGAGGAAAAGACCTTAAACGTTCCCTCACAACCACACACAGCTCTCCTGCTGTGAGGACAACAACTATTAGTTAAACACAAGGAAAATGCATTTAGCACCAGCTTTTGGTTTGGAAAGAGAGCTACTGAGATCTGAAAGATTGTGAATCTTTTCTACTTCACTGCAGCCATTTTTACTTGCACAAGCGATAATCCAATTACATCACCACATTATGTGTGCAAGCATTATTTCAAGTTTAATTGACTTGTTTTCACACACTCCGTTCTAAATCAGCTTTACAGAAAACAGTGACTTATAAACCCCAGTGTTCAAGACAGAAGAATGAGCAGCGAAAGACAAATCTCTGAGATGTTTAATGACAATGAAAGAAAAAGAATCAAATGCTGAATATATGGCAGCTTATTAGAAACACATCAACATAAGCTAGAAATATTTGTATTTGTGAGTAACGCTGCAGTGTGCTGAAGGTCGGCGATTCCTCATATGTGTTTTGTGCTGCAAAATCTCAGAAAACTCGGGGTCACCCACACGCTTACAGAAGCAGATCAACCTGACACACACACACACACACACACACACACACACTGGAGCTCTGAACGCGGTCATCAATAACCTACTGATCAACCACACAGTCAATATATCATTTGTATACTAATAACTTGTCAGGGGAAACCACAAAGCAAGAGGATCATTGTGCAAACACACAATCAGTGTGTAACATTTTTTGACATGGTTTGGCTATATTCACAAGGACATTTTCAGACATTTGAGCCCAGATGTAAGAGCCGAGAAAAATGAGAAACCCTTTGATTATAATAATGAGAAAATGATCACAAAGGGGTTTCTGAATTGTACAGAGCAGATAAATTCAAGCCTGAACACACACACACACCAGCTATATGAAAGAAACGAAATCAAAGCGTCATCATCCACCTCTCTGTGTATGAAGACACTCTCTCTCTGTTTCTTTCTTTCTCGCTCTGTCTGTCTCTCTGTCTGTGTCTGTCTGTGTGTGTGTGTGTGTGTGTGTGTGTGTGGCTCTGCAGGTTGTTCAGAGAGGTTGTCTATCGCACCCCAGCGGAGGAGCTGCGCGCTGAAATCATCCTCACTACACATGAACTCATGAACTCAATGTGAAATCAGACAGAACAGGCCAGTCCTTTGATTTCAGCCCATTTTAATGAACACAATACAGACAAGAGAGAACGAAGCCACATAAGAACGACTGTCAACGCCTACAATCACACACAACTTAGTTCGTTTGTGTCTATCGCGCGTGTGTGTGTGTGTGTGTGTGTGTGTGTGTGTGTGTGTGTCAGACGGAACAGTCTAGAGATCGTGGATGGAAACACTGTGTTTAATGATGTCTCAACACTACGGCAGCTGCTGAAATAACATGTCAAATGTGTGCGGAGACACATGAGTGATCGATGCTCTGATCATTAGAGTCTCTTCAGCGAACATTCATCAATCACAGTCACTTCCCTTCACGCGCACCCTCCGGTTCTCTGCTTTAACCAGCATCGTGTTTCCAGACCCCAAAACACACTGGAGACTTCGAGATCAAACCTGACATGATCCGAAACAAGAGATCACCTCCTCCAACCCTCACACACACACACACACACACACACACACACACACACACACACACACACACACACACACACACACACACACACACACACACACACACACACACACACCCACACAAGGCATCTACCTATACAAATCTATGGTCGCAGTTACCAGTTTCAAAGGGAGGGACTCACATACAGTAACTATGTGGCTGCTGAAAAACTTCACAAAAAAGCTCACACACACACACACACACACACACACACACGGGTCCGCGTTCCTGTCGGAGATCACACTGACGCTCTTCAGCATCTCATGGGTAAAATTGGACATCGTCATGATGCTGATTAGGAAAATCCAAGAACACACACACACACACACACACACACAGAGAGAGAGAGAGAGAGAGCTCAATTAGCTCTTTACCTTCGCAATGCTCTCCCTGCGTCTCCGTCTCTCCTTCTTCCCAAATCCCTGCGCTTTTCTCTGGAATCTGAGTCCGGAATAATGTCAGTATCCGTCAGAGAGCAACGCGTCTCGATCCTGCGCGTCTTCCGATGGGTGCTGAGCGCCGCGTCACCTGCGTCCTCACATCAGCAGCGCGCGCGAACCCGCCCACAGAGACACGCCCCGCACCGCGGGCGGAGCCGAGCTGCAGAGAGCGACGCGACGCGACGCACAGATCCTGGAGATCGACGCTCTTCTCCAGAAAGAAGCGCTAGAAACGCCCCTCACGGAACGGAGAGTTTAGATCCTCCGCCAGGTTCCGCCTGCAGTCCAAACTGAGCCGTTTCCAAATCACCAAATCATCAGCTGCTGCAAAATACAAGTCTGAGGTTCCTACACACCAGCACATGACTGAAGACAACGCCACGGTAATCATCACGATACAGCCGCAGAACTAACGACTTCCGTGAAGAGCTGGGACGGTTCTGGTGTTAAGCAAACATTTACATTCCTGAACACACACTTAAATGTTATGAGCGTGATGTTTTAAGTAATCACGCTACCCGTTCACACAGTTATATTAAAGCGAAGTATGTCTAATAATGAACGTGAACAGCATTCACACAGAAGAACGCGTTTTGCTTTACAACACGCCAGACGCAGAGCAGTGGGAAGGAAAGCGCAAGTGTAAGAACGGGTTTTAAAGTTCTTCAAGCGCATTCCTGCGTCCCAATGTGCATACTAGCCATCCTAAATTATATGTGATATTAGTCATTTTCACTACTATTTAGGGTGGATAGTATGCACATTGGGACGCAGGGCATGTTAACGTGAATTCGCGCAGAGGAATGGCGTGTGTCCGGTGCGCGGGAGGGGACGGGATCGGCTCCGTTAAACGACACGCTAATAACATAAAAACATGCTAATTTATGGCCACCTACTGGCGAAGAGCTATATAAATAAAGTTATAGAGTCGAAGATTTCTCAGGCATTTACTAAACATAATGGTATGTTATATATTAAAATAGATAATACGGACAGTTAAATGGGGGTAAAAGCGTGCAATTCATGGAAATTAAATCAATAAATATGTACAACAACAACCAGCAAATTAATTTAGAAGACGGATGGGATTAATAAAAATGTTTTCTTGTAGGCATATGTATGCATATCTATGACTCATCTAATTAATATCAGTAGGTCAACAAGAGGAAAGACTAAGAATAACACAGGCAATACCATCTGGAAAGAACACAGTGAAACTTAGATAAATCAGCAGAAACACAATTCATCTAATATATTTAGACAACATAAAATATTTAAAATGAGACTAGCATTCGCGCTGCAGTCCCAATAGCCCAGGCAATTACTGCCATGCCATCCAGCCAGATAAAACTCGTAAGATCTCAGACATCTTGATATCCAGTATTCCTCCTTTTTGGTGACCTCTCCCAAATAAATGATCCCGGTCAGTCCACATCACTCCCTTCCTGCTTCCTCTACTGTCTCTGAAATCACTGCAAAAATACTATCCTTTACACAATGACTATAAACTCTTCACAAAAATTAGTTTTCTTTGTGGTGGTTGATTGTGTTTTAAACACTACAAAACACCACAAAGAGAAATAAGCGTCAGACTTAATGTGACAAGTGAAAATGTGATAAGCAGATGAACTCTAATAATCACATCATCTGCATCTGAAATGAGATGTGTAACCCAGACTCGGAAACTCTTTGGAGAAAAGTGTGATAGTAGAAATAACACAAATCTGAGAATGCAAATGGAGTCGTTTTTGCTGATGTCTCTCGCTTTCCAGAAATTCTCAGATCACAGAGGAGATTTCAAACAATGTCTCAAGCTGAACTGTCTGAAGTTTGCAATCAAAACATTTCTCATCAATTTCTCCCAAGAGCAAATGTTCTGAGCCGCTCAACGGTCATAGTCCATTAGGAGAATGATTTATGACGATTCCTCAATAATGAAACATAACTGAGAACTTGGTGAAGTCTCGTGAGCTGATCTGAGCAAACGTCCAGCGGGAGAGTCTAGCAGACCTGAGCTGATTCCCTGTGTTCCTTTAATTGATCCACAGTCACGCAATGTCATTTACTGTCAAACATCTTCATCTTCAATAAAGGCATGACATTTCATTTCCACTGCACATTAATATGAGAGAGTCTGTATTTCTGAGCTCACATCTACACCACTGCTGACCAAAACAGGGAGGGACTCACAGTGCTTACAGTAAGAGCATCATCACGAACATTGTGACACTGCTTTGACTTTGATCATTCTTGAATCAACATGGAAATGGACATCTGCACGATATTAATTCAGTCATTGAACCTCGACTGCTCCCATAAAGCTCCTGAGCTTTTCCCCGATGGTGTATATTATTATGTTTGTGTTTCTTGATGCCAGGCATCTAAATGTTTTTGAGCTTTCTTATTTGCTCACTTTTTTAATCATTTGCAGTGAAACGAGTCGTGTAGAACTACCCAGAATGAATCGCCCATTCATAACAAGCCAGCAACGCTGCGATGTCCTTTTCACTTTTATTTCTCATGATATTTGCATCTCCATTATTATTCTGCTATTACAAACTAAAACCGTACACTTCCCTGGAGATGCTGGACACATTATCACACCATAAAATAAAACCACAAAACTCTTTTGTTGCATAATATTGGCATTGACATGTAAGCCTTAGAATCTAGCAAGTTCATACATTATAAATATATTTTTTTATATTTGTGGGGTTCATACATTTAAAAACGGCTGCTTTGACTTCACATTCCTTGGCATCAGGAAGTGAAAGTGGACTGTTGCAAAATCCTCCTCGTCTGTGGTGTAAGAGTAATATAAGAGCATACAAACCTGGAAACCTCACTTTTAAAGGTATGACTTTCAGCACTTTATGATCAGGGATTTACTCATTCTGATCTTCATTTAAAAGCTAAAAGCCTAAATAGCTAAATCCAGCTATTTAGGGCAGATAGTGTGCAAACAGGAAAGATGCATTTTGTTGTTCTTGAGTTGTTTATTTCTGTCGCTGTATTTGAAGTCAGTAATGTATAAAGTAAGGTTTTACAGGTCACAGACACAATTATTGTTATCACAGAATCCGACATTCATGACTAAATAAAGGTAAAGACACAAAACCACAGGAACATACAAACACACATTCAATTCCTGATAACGTCAGTCTTTGTTTACAGAGCGTGACCTCAGCAGGGCAGGAGATAAAACTGAACAGCATCTCTACAGCACACACACACACACACACAGCCTACCAGATGAACTCTAATAATCACATCATCTGCATCTGAAATGAGATGTGTAACCCAGACTCGGAAACTCTTTGGAGAAAAGTGTGATAGTAGAAATAACACAAATCTGAGAATGCAAATGGAGTCGTTTTTGCTGATGTCTCTCGCTTTCCAGAAATTCTCAGATCACAGAGGAGATTTCAAACAATGTCTCAAGCTGAACTGTCTGAAGTTTGCAATCAAAATGTTCTGAGCCGCTCAACGGTCATAGTCCATTAGGAGAATGATTTATGACGATTCCTCAATAATGAAACATAACTGAGAACTTGGTGAAGTCTCATGAGCTGATCTGAGCAAACGTCCAGCGGGAGAGTCTAGCAGACCTGAGCTGATTCCCTGTGTTCCTTTAATTGATCCACAGTCACGCAATGTCATTTACTGTCAAACATCTTCATCTTCAATAAAGGCATGACATTTCATTTCCACTGCACATTAATATGAGAGAGTCTGTATTTCTGAGCTCACATCTACACCACTGCTGACCAAAACAGGGAGGGACTCACAGTGCTTACAGTAAGAGCATCATCACGAACATTGTGACACTGCTTTGACTTTGATCATTCTTGAATGAACATGGAAATGGACATCTGCACGATATTAATTCAGTCATTGAACCTCGACTGCTCCCATAAAGCACCTGAGCTTTTCCCCGATGGTGTATATTATTATGTTTGTGTTTCTTGATGCCAGGCATCTAAATGTTTTTGAGCTTTCTTATTTGCTCACTTTTTTAATCATTTGCAGTGAAACGAGTCGTGTAGAACTACCCAGAATGAATCGCCCATTCATAACAAGCCAGCAACGCTGCGATGTCCTTTTCACTTTTATTTCTCATGATATTTGCATCTCCATTATTATTCTGCTATTACAAACTAAAACCGTACACTTCCCTGGAGATGCTGGACACATTATCACACCATAAAATAAAACCACAAAACTCTTTTGTTGCATAATATTGGCATTGACATGTAAGCCTTAGAATCTAGCAAGTTCATACATTATAAATATATTTTTTTATATTTGTGGGGTTCATACATTTAAAAACGGCTGCTTTGACTTCACATTCCTTGGCATCAGGAAGTGAAAGTGGACTGTTGCAAAATCCTCCTCGTCTGTGGTGTAAGAGTAATATAAGAGCATACAAACCTGGAAACCTCACTTTTAAAGGTATGACTTTCAGCACTTTATGATCAGGGATTTACTCATTCTGATCTTCATTTAAAAGCTAAAAGCCTAAATAGCTAAATCCAGCTATTTAGGGCAGATAGTGTGCAAACAGGAAAGATGCATTTTGTTGTTCTTGAGTTGTTTATTTCTGTCGCTGTATTTGAAGTCAGTAATGTATAAAGTAAGGTTTTACAGGTCACAGACACAATTATTGTTATCACAGAATCCGACATTCATGACTAAATAAAGGTAAAGACACAAAACCACAGGAACATACAAACACACATTCAATTCCTGATAACGTCAGTCTTTGTTTACAGAGCGTGACCTCAGCAGGGCAGGAGATAAAACTGAACAGCATCTCTACAGCACACACACACACACACACAGCCTACAGAAACAGATATTACAGATGTGATAGTGTTTCTACCATCTTGTTTTACACTCGCTAGTGCAGTGTGTGTTTCTCTAGAGTGTTTTTAAAAATTATTTCCAACATTGAATCTTTAGTATGTATTTTGTACTTTATTATCACTATTTTCTCACCCGTTTCTATCCATGGCAATAAAATGTGTCTCTTTCTGTGATGTCAAGAAAGCACATATGTGACCCTGGAGCACAAAACCAGTCATAAGGGTAATTTTGAAATTGAGATTTATGCATCATCTGAA